CTCTCTCTCTCTCTCTCTCTCTCTCTCTCTCTCTCTCTCTCTCTCTCTCTCTCTCTCTCTCTCTCTCTCTCTCTTCCTCTCTCTCTCTCTCTCTCGCTTGCGCTCACTTTCCACTGTCGCGCGCTCGTTATTGTGGAGGGAACGAATCCGGACCGACGCAAAGGCCAGATTCATGCTCCTCCTTCCTGCGCCCGGACACGCTCATCTTCGTGGTCGAGCTCATGCACGCCTCCCCTCTCTCTCTCACACACACACACACACTCACTGATTTCGCACTACCCCAATCCTCACCCGCGCAACCTCTTTCCCCGCTTGCGACTTCATACTCCCGCGCCGTTTAGCTCACTGCACGGTCTATAGTCACGCTCGCACCGCGTAGCTATCCCCCTTCCGCGCGCAGCTTCGTCTTTCCCGCGCACAGCTGCTTCTTTCCCGCGCGCAGCTTCTTCTTTCCCACACGCGGCTTCTACCTCCTCGCTGGCAACTCCTTCCTCGTACTCGGGAACCAAACGAACCTGGGGCACGAACGCGCCTGGGTGCGCCCGCGAATTCCCTTCACTCCCTTTCTCTCTCCCTGATAATGCGCGTGAACGTGGCCCGCATCCTCTCCCGGTTCGTTGTGCCGAAGCCAACGCAGCTCTTCGATACCCTCAACTCGGTTCCCACGACGCTCTATGCAGTGCCACTGCGGATGAGCCTGGTCACTCTCGTCGCTATGTGCATTCAAGGCCTCCGCCGGATCTGCCAGCGCCTCTCCAGATTGCTTCCATTCAGTCCCGGTTCGTGCTTGATTGGGTGATCGCCCGTGGATCGTGCGCCGAACTAGATCTTCCCCCTCGTGCATCTCTGAGCTAGCACACTTCGTGTGCCGGCCCGTGCGTCTCTAAGCCAACACACCTCGTGTGCTAGCCCGTGCGCCCTCCCTGTGCGCAAGTGAGAATCATCCCCCATCCTTCGGGCCCGGTTGGGCCTTTATACTTTGCTGGGCCCAACGCGGCGTGGCTTCAGTGCCTCGGTGTGTCGAGGCTCCGGGAATGTTGCAGCGCCCGGGGCACCAAGCCTCCCCCGAGCCTGTACCCGGGCCCGTTTGGGCCTCCGAAAGGTTTCCAATGAAGGGAGCCTTTTTGTCGGGTACCGGGCTTTTTGTAGCGCCTCGGTACCGAAGTTCCTTCCAAACCTAAGCCCGGCCTAATAAGTGGTTCCCGCCCACAAGTGGTAACGGCCTCGGTAAATAACCCCGTAGAGCCCCCTTCGAAATCCTAGGCCGACGGGTCCATTCCTGGGCCTTAGCCGTAAGCCTCCTTT